CTTCAGCCAATCTTGAAAAAACCTGGTCTCGACCCCACTGATTACTCTAATCTCCGACCAATTTCCAAATTACCGTTTTTATCTAAGGTCCTTGAGAAAATAGTGTATGAACAGATGCTGACACATCTAAATGACAATCAGGTAATGGACATTTTTCAGTCTGGTTTCAGAAAACAGCACAGCACTGAAACTGCTCATGTTCGGGTGTTTAATGACATTTTTCTCGCTTTAGATTCAGGTTTCCATGTGGTTCTGCTACTTTTGGATCTATCAGCAGCATTTGACACGATCGATCATAACATCTTGATCACCAGACTTCAGACTTGGGCTGGCATTTCTGGTTCAGCCCTAGATTGGTTCAGGTCATACTTTTATAACAGGTCCGCTAGAGTCATGTTGGATGGCTGTTCATCCGAGTCACAACCACTCCGTTGGGGTGTCCCACAAGGTTCAATACTCGGCCCGTTACTATTTAACCTCTATATACTGCCCTTAGGAGCCATTTTCAGAAGGCACGCTGTCTCATACCATCTTTACGCTGATGACTGTCAGATCTACTTTTCATTCAAGCCAACTCAATCAATGCAAGTTCTGTCTGATTGTATCGATAATGTTAAGCTTTGGCTTGCTGATAACTTCCTCCATCTGAATGACTCCAAAACAGAAGTAATCGTTTTTAATCCTCACAGCATCCCGGCTACTCTTCAACCTGACCTCAACTATCTCTCACCTAATGTCTCCACTGTAATTTCCAACCTTGGAGTTAAAATAGACCAGGCTCTGAAGATGGATGCTCAGGTCAATAACACAGTTAAATCATGTTTTTACCACCTCAGGCGTATCTCTAAACTTAAGCACATCCTGAGTGTCCGTCTTCTCAAATCAGTAGTCCACACTTTCATCACTTCACGGCTGGATTACTCCAACTCCTGCTTATACGGCATCAGTAAAGCAGCTCAATCTAGACTTCAGCTAGTCCAGAATTCAGCAGCTAGGTTCCTGACTGGAGTTGACAGAAGACAGCACATTACACCAATTCTAAAATCTCTCCACTGGTTGCCCGTTCATCTCAGGATCAATTTCAAAATCATGCTGCTCACTTATAAATCCCTGAACAGTCAAGCTCCTCCATATCTGTGTCAACTCGTCCATTACTACAATCCGCCTCGTGCTCTCAGGTCTGAGGATAAGCTCCTCCTAGCTCTTCCAAACGCACGTCTGAAAAGCCGTGGAGAAAGGGCTTTCTCTGTCTGTGCTCCCAAGCTGTGGAATGCATTACCACTACTAGTGAGGCAAGCACCAACAATTAGCATTTTTAAATCTCGCATGAAAACTCACTACTTCAACCTTGCATATAATACATAATCATGGACCACTTTCGACATCTGCATTCTTTCTACAATAGAATGCACAATAATTAACATCTGTATTACTGTGGTTCTTTCATATGTTTTTATCTGTTGTTTCACATTCCTTTGCGTTTTTAGTGTTTTACGACTGTTAGTTCGAGTATTTTCTTGTTTTCATTTTTTCTTATAAACTACGCTTTAAATGTCATTCTGAACGTGTTAATTTAACTGTAATCTTTTAATGTACAGCGCCTTGTCTGGTTGTAATGCCATGTTGAATGCGCTTTATAAATAAAATGGTATGGTATGGTATGGTATATGATAGAAGCTTCATTGTTAACTTATTTGGATCTTTTCTCAGGGTCTAACCAAATTGATAGCAAACAGTGTTGGATCCTAGTATGTAGTTAAACACGCTACAGGACTATAAGGAAGTGTGACAGCCAAAACATGTATAGAAATAATAAATGTCTTCTTCATACGTTCTCCTGCAATGCCCTGGTCCTGTAGAATGAGCCCTGGCATTTTTACTGTGATTGCCTGTTTTTCTGTAAAATCACAGAAAAAGAGAGATGCTCGGGTCGAGCAGGCTGCTTCATGCGCGTTCACGCTCAGGCATCGCCCGTAGCATTTGCTATCTGTAGCTTTAGCAGCAGAGAGAGAGGCAGTGCCAACTCAGCGACTTTGTCGCTGTTCCTAACGCCTAGTGACAAAGCTAGCTACATTTCTGAGGACCCTTAGCTACTTTCTGTAGAACTTTCTTCTAGATATTTCCTGCAAATTAGAAACAAAATAGCCATTTTCGCTCCGAACCGTTCTTTGGATTGATGTTGTTTCAGCTGTCATCAAGGATATAAAAGTTACAGATAGACTGAACATCATTGACGCTTTAGCTCATCTAGTAATGTGTCTGACTCTCATGCAGGAGACCTGGGTTTGACTCCAGTTGTAAACATAATTTGTCATTTTGAGTTTCTTTTTTACATTAATGGTATATTTTTTTTACAGTAATAAGATGCCCAAATTTTTATTTGAGACTCGCCGAACGGCAAAAAAGATGTGGGTTCAACTTTCATTCTGGAACAATTTTTTCAAACAAGGGAAGGGAATGATGTGAGCATGCAGGAGGACTGACCCATAATAAACCTTTGTCGGCTGTGCTGAAGAGAAAGGTACAGAACCAAATTATTACACACACAAATTACACACACACACACACACACACACACACACACACACACACACACACTGCATGTTCAGCCAGCCGGCCGACAAGAAAGTGCAGCTGCAGAGACAGAGGCACATTATTTTTATTAATTAGCGGTGCTCTTCTGTCCTCCGGGCCACACACACACACACGGGACTGTCTCAGCTGTTCTTTTCGTTATGGAGTTTTTCTTGGCTGAAGCTGGTTTTACCTGGCAGCTCAAAGAGTTAAGAGAATCAGAGCAATAATTTTAAGTTTATTCAGACATGCACACAGACGCAAACATGCATGCACGTGCACACACGTGTACACACACAGTAAAATCATGTTTACACTTTTGCTTGTTGCTAAATAGCAAAATTTTATTAGACTGTAAAAAAACATTGGTTTAGACGAGAAAATATGATGTGTCGATGAAACTGTGCACTTGTTTCAAATGAGATGTTTTATTTACGTCTGAAGTTTTTTTTCTTTCTCTTTTGCAGAAGACCAATTTTTATATTGATAGGTGAAAATGTGCCTATGAGCATTGGGTTTGTAGGACTGAACTGTAGTTAGAAGCTGCAGAAGAAAACATCAAGATTTGGATGACTTAATAGACCTTTGCATCTGTCTGACCTTCTACAGCCTTAGGGCTATACATGTATGAATTTATATATATAGAGAGAGATATAGATATATATATATATATATATATATATATATATATATATATATATATAAATATATATATATATATAGATAGATATATAAAATAACAATATATATATATATGTATATATATATATATATATACATATATTTATATATATGTATATTTACATATAGATGTGTATATGTATATATATATATACATATATACATACATACATGCATACATACATACATACATAAATATATATATATATATACATACATACATAAAATATATATAAATATATATATATATATATGTATATATACATTCATATATATATATATATATATATATATATATGTATATATACATACATATATATACATATATATACACATACACACATGCATACATATATATATATATATATATATATATATATATATATATACATGCATTCATACATATATATATATAATATATATATATATATATATATATATATATATATATATATATATATATATATACATACATATATATACATGCATTCATACATATATATATATATATATATATATATATATATATATATATATATGTATATATATATATATATATATATATGTGTGTGTGTGTGTGTGCGTGTGTATTTCCTCCAGACCTCTTGGGTCTAACAACCATTTGCTTTTAGTTGTCGCAGCTGGTCCAGGCTGGGCAGCTAGTCCCTAAACCCAGCTCTTATGAGCCATTATCCTGCATGTTTTAGATGTTTCCCTGCTCGAACACCTTTGAGGAACAGGATTTAATTAGTCTACATAAGAGAATCTCCACCTCTTGTGGTTTTAAAATGAAAAAAGTAGAAATTTGTCCTTTACTTTAATATATTTATTTAAACACGTTTCATGTTTTTCGGCTAATAGATTTAAAACATTAAAATAGAGCAGCTACAGGTAAAGTTCAAATGTGAAACAGTTATACTTTTAAAGCACTACTGCAGTAACTTTAAGAGTTTTTCTAACGATAAATACATTTTGTATGTTTTGCAACTCTGCGTCCAAATTTAACAAGTTAAATGTTTCACCTGATGCTTGAGCCTGCTCACCTATTGTTTCACTTCTGATGACCACAAGGATTTAAGGGTTGTTAAAATAATGATCAATCAGTAATAGATTAAATCCTCTCTCAATCATACCACCTAAATAAAATCTGTTTTGTGCCGCATCGTTATGAATCCCAGCTTCACACATTCTGGTTAACAACAGAAACTAGTTTTGCACGACAGAAGACAAATTTAGAGCAAGAAAAAAATACTTTTTGATATGGAAACCATGATGTGCAGCAAAATCTATCAGACTGTCTGCTGGCTGATAGCGCCCTCTGGTGGCTTTGTGTTTAACCTAAAAGTGTAACACGTTTGGTCCCATTCAAGAGAGAGAGAGAGAGTGAGTGAGTGAGTGAGTGAGTGAGTGAGTGAGTGAGTGAGTGAGTGAGTGAGTGTGAGAGAGAGTGTGTGTGTGTGAGAGAGAGAGAGAGAGAGAGAGAGAGAGAGAGAGAGAGAGAGAGAGAGAGAGAGAGAGTGTGTGTGTGTGTGTGTGTGTGTGTGTGTGTGTGTGTGAGAGCGAGAGAGAGAGAGAGAGAGAGAGAGAGAGAGAGAGAGAGCGAGAGAGAGAGAGAGAGAGAGAGAGTGTGTGTGTGTGTGTGTGTGTGTGTGTGTGTGTGTGTGTGTGTGTGTGTGTGTGTGTGTGTGTGTGTGTGTGTGTGTGTGTGTGTGTGTGTGTGTGTGTGTGTGTGTGTGTGTACTTACCAAGTTGTAGTGAGGTCTCTGTGTGATAGTATCCATCCTGCTGCTTCTTTTTCAGCATTGAACACAAATCCACCCGCTCCACCATCTGATTTCCAAAAAATCTGCAGGTCACAGAGAGACGAGGTGGAAATGACACAAAGCGGAGACCTCCTGAGCTTTTGAAAGATCAGACATCAGAGCAGCTTGAATGTAACGAGCACCAAAAATAGACCCTCGAAGCAAAGAAAACTGGAGAAAACCCTTAAAAATGGGGATTTTAAACATATCGGTATCGGTCCGATAAGTAAAACTGGGCCGATATTAACAACCGATAGTTTTAAAATCTTGTTTCCGCTTGCGTATCTGTTTCACAAGGTGAGGGGGTGATGATGTGTAATTATTTAGTCATCTGACAGTGATGGAAGCGTAACATGTGTGGAATGTGTACATAATAACATATCGTAAATCGCACTTTATAGAAATAAAGCAAAACATTCTAGAATTCAGCTCGCATCATTTTCAGTCTATAAAAAGTTTGCTGATTTCAGAAAACGCAAATGTCGGCGTATATATAATACATTTAATTCACATTGGCACATCCCCACTTAAAAACAAGCTAAAGAACACATTCAAACATTTAAACATTTTACTTTAACAGAACTCATTTCTGTTTCTTAATAAAAGAAAAAACAAAGTACCTACTTGTCTGTGTATTCGGAGTAGAGGGCTGGGCCCACACGCTTTATACCCTGACACACAGAAATAAGAGGTAAAGTGAGTAAAGCATTAATTTTATGACACTTTCATCCTCTTGATAAAGACAGGAACACAAACACAGACCGGAGGACAACGACGACGTCATCGAGCAGACGCCGGGCAGGAAAAGGCAGAAACGATGGATACTGTTCTTCCTCTGAGACTCTCCCATCCTGATCAAAGCTCGTATCCGTCTTTATTTCCCTCTTCTCATTTTCATGAACTTACTAAAACCATTTATTGCATTAGCTCCTCCCCTCGTGCATCATGCTCTTCTCCTACATCAGCTCTAACTTCTTCAGCGGACTAATAGAGTGTTATTAGGGTGTTCCAACGTAAGAAAGTCGCCGTCTTCGTCTTCCTCCGCTTATCCGGGTCCGGGTCGCGGGGGCAGCATCCCAACTAGGGAGCTCCAGACCGTCCTCTCCCCGGCCACCTCCACCAGCTCCTCCGGCAGGACCCCAAGGCGTTCCCGGACCAGATTGGAGATGTAACCTCTCCAACGTGTCCTGGGTCGACCCGGGGGCCTCCTGCCGGCAGGACATGCCCGAAACACCTCCCCAGGGAGGCGTCCAGGAGGCATCCTGACCAGATGCCCAAACCACCTCAACTGGCTCCTTTCGATCCGGAGGAGCAGCGGTTCTACTCCGAGTCCCTCCCGAATGTCCGAGCTCCTCACCCTATCTCTGAGGCTGAGCCCAGCCACCCTACGGAGGAAACTCATTTCGGCCGCTTGTATCCGCGATCTCGTTCTTTCGGTCATTACCCAAAGCTCATGACCATAGGTGAGGATTGGGACGTAGATCGACCGGTAAATCGAGAGCCTGGCTTTCTGGCTCAGCTCCCTCTTCACCACGACAGATCGGCTCAGCGTCCGCATCACTGCAGACACCGAACCAATCCGCCTGTCGATCTCCCGATCCCTCCTACCCTCACTCGTGAACAAGACCCCGAGATACTTAAACTCCTCCTCTTGAGGTAGGACCTCTCTCTCGACCCGGAGTTGGCAAGCCACCCTTTTCCGGTCGAGAACCATGGTCTCAGATTTGGAGGTGCTGATCCTCATCCCAGCCGCTTCACACAAGGCAAGAAAGTGTTGATAATAAATGTTAGAAAACACAAAAATGGCAACAACTCAGTCAGTTTTATAAATATTAAGCTAAAATTTACTATTTTAATACATGCATATATATACTGCTGCGGTTTAACCAACATAAACTCTGGCATGAAGGTGATGTGTGACAGAAAGGCTTTTAATTCACTCAATTCAGTTTTTTTATGCTAAAACACGTAAAAAAATCATTTTCGACAACAACGTGAAATCAGTCCATCTGTGTGCGTGTGCACACACCTGAGATCGTAGTTTCGATGCTCTAGACAGCTTCATGATGGTGAGGTGGGGTTCGAAGCCTCGACCGTCTCCCTGCAGAAGCCCCTGTTCCTCGAAACGGCAACGTAACAACTCTGCAGCAAGCACATGCCTAAAAACGTCAGGTTTGTTTGGACTTCGGGCCAAAAAAATGAGAGAAAAGATTCAAACGCATGAATTAATTAATGTCTGAGATTATCATAAAACCAGCAGATAGGAAGGAAGATGCACAGAGCAGTTGAGGAGGTTTAGTGGGAAGCCACAGCGGTATTTTTAGAAGAGGAGCTCGGCGGGGAGAGAGAGGTTAGTACATAATCGATGCGAGTGGTGGAGAGAGCAGACGGGAAGACAAGAGGGTCAGACTTCCTGCTGTACCCTTCCTTTGCTGCAGCCCACATTTGTGATTCTTGCTGAATCTTTTTTACATGTTAAAAATCTAAAAATCAATAACAGAAGCTTCCGACTCCCTCGGTCTGCTCTCGCTGTAGATGCACGCTGCTGAAGTCAAACTTGTTTAAATGATGCAGGGAGCTAAAATCGAAGCAGTCTAGACACAAATTTGACCTTTGATTATTTTAGAAATCCTATAATGATGTTTGTCACGTCAAAATATTTAAAAAAATCACATCCAGCAGCAAACAAACAAGGAAATCACTACCTGTTAAATAAAACCGACAACAATCTCTGTTATCTAGGTTAAAACTACATGGAAATAAGTTAATTTGCTGATATTTTAAATGTGTAATTAATGAAGATACTTAAAACTGATGTTTTTCTTAATAAAACCATATTTAAAACACTTAAAAAATATTGAATGGGATAAGCAGGCAAACACAAGTAATAATATTTCATTTAGCCACTTCTGTTCTATTATTTATAATAAAAACATTTTGCAGAATCTTTCTGACCACGTTCAAAACTCAGCAGCAACATTTGTGTTTTTTTAAAGATCATTTTTGTTGTTTTGAGACTTTTTTCATGTTTTAAATTGACATTTTTAGATTTTTCTCTACATTATAAACCAGTAATCACATAAAAATCAGTCACTGTTACATCTTGTGAATGATAGGTAAAATTATGGGGAAGGAGCTTATTTATTACGTATGCAAGCTGCTAAAGTCATATAAAAACCATAAATCCTCTTAGAAATGTTGGCTGGATGGTTTTTGGCTCATCTCAAATACAAACTTTCATTTTGGTGTTGATGTAAGAGGAGATGATAAAAATGAAGATGGGGAAATTTTAGAAAATCCATATTTTTCTACATCTACTGACATTTTTAGGCCCGAGCAGCGAAGCGCTGCGAAGGCCTATTGTATCTGCTCCGTTTATTAGGCCCGAGCAGTGAAGCTGCGAAGGCCTATTGTATCTGCTCCGTTTATTATTATTATTATTATTATTTATTATTATTATTATTTTTTTTCTTCCGCGTCTTTGGGTGGCCTTTAGGGGGTCTTAGCATATCCAAAAAGTCACCAAATTCTGGCCCAATATAGAAAGTGCGTGAAATTTACGTATTTCACTGGCGATGTGAAAGTTCATAAAAAAGTGGCTGAACAGCGCCCTCTAGAAAGTGAAAAATACCCCTCTCCATAAAGCTTAGTTTATCGTACAGTTATGAAATTTGGTTTACTTGTAGTACTCAACAGTCCGCACAGAAAAGTCTCTTGCAACCATGGTCAATATCAAACAGGAAGTCGGCCATTTTGGGTTGAAATGGAGATTTTTAGCCGTTTTGGCCATTTCTAGGGTCTACATTTGGTCTAACAGTTTGGTCATTTTTCGCACGATTGTGTCAAAAATAGTGTACTATCGAACAGAAGCGATGGACGATTCAAATGAGAAAATAAAATTGACTTTTCGTAAATACTGAAGGGGCGGGGCCAGACCTCAAAGTTCGAGCACTCGCCAAAAAAATTCAAATTGCTATAATTTCATAAATGAAAGAATTAGAGTTAAAGTAACTTTCTATGGATAATTGTCATCGCCCCCCGAAGACAAATGAATGGTCGATTGATGATGTCACACAAGCCCCGCCCCCTCAGGACTTAAAAGGTCAAGTTTTACTGGGAAATTTTCCAAAATTCGCCCTTTCGAATAATCAGCCCAAATTTGTAGCAGTTAACTGAAGAGAAGGTGGCGTTGCTTGGCGTCACTTTATGGGTGTTTTCTGCAGAAGGCGGGGCAGTGCCGGCGCGGCGAAGTCAGGCGTACCGCTTAGGCCTTACGTTTGCCTCCCATTTCGTCATTTCTAGAGATATCGCCACGACACTTCTTGGGAGTCATCCTAGTCTGGCCCCAAAAAGAATCGGATGTGAACATCCGGTGGGCGTGGCCTATTTTCTGAAATAGCGCCCCCTAGGACCATTAAAACTGTCAGCCCCAAGCCATGCTTTTACTGAGGAGTACAAAATTTGGTACACTATTGTGGTGTCTCAGGACCTACAAAAAAGTCTCTTGGAGCCAAGTGCAAAGTCGCACAGGAAGTCGGCCATTTTGGTCCAAGTACTCGATTTAGTGGTTTTCGCACACGTTGTTTGGAGAGTGTTACACCATTGCCCTTTTCACCAATCACCTTCAAACTTCTGCTATAGACTCTTAAGACAAAGGAGAAAAAATTCAACCGTCGGATTTTAAATAAGTATAAAGGTGTGGGCGTGGCTAAGCCTCAAACTTTGACCTGTCGCCACGCCACTCTTTTTTTCACAGCTCCCTATTGAACTCCTTTTAACCAATCACCACCAATCACTGGCACATAGCAGCAGACAAGTTGAGGTCACTTGGTCTATAGTACTGGCAGGTTTCGAATAAAGGCGGGGCTTTGGGAGCATGGCGAAATTCGCCATCACGCCATGGAAATACGTTTGTCTCTCATTTCTTCAATCATTGTGACATCGCCACACAATTTCTGATGAGTGATCCTACTCTGACCCCTAATAGAATTGGACAGCTGAAGTTTGTGGGCGTGGCCTATTTTCTGAAATAGCGCCCCCTAGGACCATTAAAACTGTCAGCCCCAAGCCATGCTTTGACTGAGGATCACGAAATTTGGCACACTAATGTAGTGTCTCAGGACCTACAAAAAAGTCTCTTGGAGCCAAGCGCAATGTCGCACAGGAGGTCGGCCATTTTGGTCCAAGTACTCGATTTAGTGGTTTTCGCACACGTTATTAGGAGAATGATGTCTCGTCGTCCTTTCCACCGATCACCTTCAAACTCCTGCTATATACTCTTAAGACATAGAGGAAAAAATTCAACCATCGGATTTTAAATAAGTATAAAGGTGTGGGCGTGGCTAAGCCTCAAACTTTGACCAGTCGCCATTACGTTACTTGACTTAATAACTCCCATGTGCATGATCAGATCAATTTCAAACTTTGTCTGTGTGATCACTGACCACATCTGAAGACAGTGACAATGTGGACAGCTGGCATCACCTAAGCCCCGCCCCCTGATAACAGGAAGTCTACTGTTTTATGGTGAAATGCCCATATTTGTCCCCTCTAATTTAGTCAACATGACACTAAGGTCATGCACTGTCTTCATGATGTTGTAATGACCATTCAGATCTGATAGCTTTTCAGAAAGGGAGGCTGCTTTGATGCCATGGCGATTTCTGGCGTGACGCTGTGACCTTACGTTTGACTGTAACTTCCACAAACAGCCTCCGATTTGCCCGAGACTGAACATCACATCACCAGTGTGGTAAAGATAGAGTATCTCCTAGTGGTGAGACGTGTAATGCTGGGCTCAGAGGGGATGCTGAGTCAGGGTGAGGTGTGGACGAGGAGGCCGTTCACGGTTTCTGGTGTCGGGGTGGTTGACTTTCTTTTCTGCCAGACGTGCCCTGGTTCCCCCGGCTGCCGGCCAGGACGGAGCGGCGCGGAGCTGGGTTTGGAGAGCGTCGGGGATGGAGCAGAGGGGGTGCGGCAGGAGGTCGAGCAGCTTCACTGCGAGGGCCGAACGACGCTGCTTGCAGCTTTAATTTTTTTTTTTTTTCTTTCTTTTTCTTCCGCGTCTTTGGACGGCCTTTAGGGGGTCTTAGCATATCCAAAAACTCACCAAATTCTGGCCCAATATAGAAAGTGCGTGAAATTTACGTATTTCAATGGCAACGTGAAAGTTGGTAAAAAAATGTTTCAACAGCGCCCCCTGGAAAATTAAAAATACCCCTCCGCTTTGACCTTTTTTCATAGTAGAGTTATGAAATTTGCTACACTTGTAGAACTCAACAATACGCACAGAAAAGCCTCTTGCACCCATGGTCAATATCAAACAGAAAGTCGGCCATTTTGGACTAAAGTGGCCATTTTGACCACGTTTTGGCCATTTCTAGGGTCTATATTTGGTTGAACAGTTTGGTCATTTTTCGCACGATCGTCTCAAAAATAGTGTGCGATCGAACAGAAGCGATGGACGATTAAAATGAGACAATAAAATTGACTTTTCGTAAATACTGAAGGGGCGGGACCAGGCCTCAAAGTTCAAGCACTCGCCAAAAAAATTCAAATTGCTATAATTTCATAAATGAAAGAATTACAGTTAAAGTAACTTTCTATGGACAATCGGCATCGCCCCACGAAGACAAATGAATGGTCGATTGATGATGTCACATAAGCCCCGCCCCCTCAGGACTTAAAAGGTCAAGTTTTACTGGGAAATTTTCAAAAATTCGCCCTTTCAAATAATCATCCCAAATTTGTAGCAGGTAACTGAAGACAAGTTGGGGTTGCTTGGCGTCACTTTATGGGAGTTTTCTGCAGAAGGCGGGGCTGTGACGGCGCGGCGAAGTCAGGCGTACCGATGTGGCCTTACGTTTGCCTCCCATTTCGCCATTTCTAGAGATATCGCCACAAAACCTATTGGGAGTGATCCTAGTTCGGCCCCCCACAAAATGTGATGTGAACATCCGGTGGGCGTGGCCTATTTTCTGAAATAGCGCCCCCTAGGACCATTAAAACTGTCAGCCCCAAGCCATGCTTTGACTGAGGAGTACAAAATTTGGTACACTAATGTGGTGTCTCAGGACCTAGAAAAAAGTCTCTTGGAGCCAAGTGCAAAGTCGCACAGGAAGTCGGCCATTTTGGTCCAAGGACTCGATTTAGTGGTATTCGCACACGTTGTTTGGAGAGTGTTGCACCATTGCCCTTTTCATCAATCGCCTTCAACCATCTGCTATATACTCTTAAGACATAGATGAAAAAATTCAACCGTCGGATTTTATATAAGTATAAAGGTGTGGGCGTGGCTAAGCCTCAAACTTTGACCTGTCGCCACGCCACTCTTTTTTTCACAGCTCCCTATCGGACTCCTTTTAACCAATCACCAGCAATCACTGTCAAATGGCAGCAGACAAGTTGAGGTCACTTGATATATAGTACTGGCAGGTTTCGAATAAAGGCGGGGCTTTGGGAGCATGGCGAAATTCGCCATCACGCCATGGAAATACGTTTGTCTCTCATTTCTTCAATCATTGTGACATCGCCACACAATTTCTGATGAGTGATCCTACTCTGACCCCTAATAGAACTGCACAGCTGAAGTTTGTGGGCGTGGCCTATTTAATGAAATAGCGCCCCCTAGGACCATTAAAACTGTCAGCCCCAAGCCATGCTTTGACTGTGGATTACGAAATTTGATACACTAATGTGGGGTCTCAGGACCTACAAAAAAGTCTCTTGGAGCCAATTGCAAAGTCGCGCAGGAAGTCGGCCATTTTGGTCCAAGTACTCGATTTAGTGGTATTCGCACACGTTGTTTGGAGAGTGTTGCACCATTGCCCTTTTCACCAATCGCCTTCAAACATCTGCTATATACTCTTAAGACATAGATGAAAAAATTCAACCGTCGGATTTTATATAAGTATAAAGGTGTGGGCGTGGCTAAGCCTCAAACTTTGACCTGTCGCCACGCCACTCTTTTTTTCACAGCTCCCTATTGGACTCCTTTTAACCAATCACCAGCAATCACTGGCAAATGGCAGCAGACAAGTTGAGGTCACTTGATCTATAGTACTGGCAGGTTTCGAATAAAGGCGGGGCTTTGGGAGCATGGCGAAATTCGCCATCACGCCATGAAAATACGTTTGTCTCTCATTTCTTCAATCATTGTGACATCACAACAAAATGTCTGATGAGTGATCCTAGTCTGACCCCCAATAGAAATGGACAGCTGAAGTTTGTGGGCGTGGCCTATTTTCTTAAATAGCGCCCCCTAGGACCATTAAAACTGTCAGCCCCAAGCCATGCTTTGACTGAGGATTACGAAATTTGATACACTAATGTGGGGTCTCAGGACCTACAAAAAAGTCTCTTGGAGCCATGTGCAAAGTCGCACAGGAAGTCAGCCATTTTGGTCCAAGTACTCGATTTAGTGGTTTTCGCACACGTTGTTTGGAGAGTGTTGCACCATCGCCCTTTTCACCAATCGCCTTCAAACTTCTGCTATATACTCTTAAGACAAAGGGAGAAAAATTCAACCATCGGATTTTATATAAGTATAAAAGTGTGGGCGTGGCTAAGCCTCAAACTTTGACCTTTCGCCACTACATTACTTGACTTAACTCCCATCTGCATGATCAGATCTATATCAAACTGTGTCTGTGTGATCATTGACCACATCTCAAGACAATGACAATGTGGACAGCTGACATCACCTAAGCCCCGCCCCCTGACTACAGGAAGTCTATTTTTTATGGTGAAATGCCCATATTTGTCCCCTCTAATTTAGTCAACATGACACTAAGGTCATGCACTGTCTTCATGATGTTGTAATGACCATTCAGATCTGCTAGCTTTTCAGAAAGGGAGGGGCTTTGATGCCATGGCGATTTCTTACTCTGACCCCTAATAGAATTGGACAGCTGAAGTTTGTGGGCGTGGCCTTTTTTCTGAAATAGCGCCCCCCTAGGACCATTAAAACTATCAGCCCCAAGCCATGCTTTGACTGAGGATCACGAAATTTGGCACACTAATGTAGTGTCTCAGGACCTACAAAAAAGTCTCTTGGAGCCAAGTACAATGTCGCACAGGAGGTCGGCCATTTTTGTCCAAGTACTCGATTTAGTGGTTTTCGCACACGTTATTAGGAGAATGATGTCTCGTCGTCCTTTCCACCGATCACCTTCAAACTCCTGCTATATACTCTTAAGACATAGAGGAAAAAATTCAACCGTTGGATTTTAAATAAGTATAAAGGTGTGGGCGTGGCTAAGCCTCAAACTTTGACCAGTCGCCATTATGTTACTTGACTTAATAACTCCCATGTGCATGATCAGATCAATTTCAAATTTTGTCTGTGTGATCACTGACCCCATCTGAAGACAGTGACAATGTGGACAGCTGACATCACCTAAGCCCACCCCATGACTACAGGAAGTCTACTGTTTTATGGTGAAATGTCCATATTTGTCCCCTCTAATTTAGTCAAGATGACACTAAGGTCATGCACTGTCTTCATGATGTTGTAATGACCATTCAGATCTGATACCTTTTCAGAAAAGGGGGGCTTTTATGCCATGGCGATTTCTGGCGTGACGCTGTGACCTTACGTTTGACTGTAACTTCCACAAACAGCCTTCGATATGCTCGAGACTGAACATCACATCACCAGTGTGGTAAAGATAGAGAATCTCCTAGTGGTGAGACGTGTAATGGTGGGCTCAGAGGGGATGCTGAGTCAGGGTGAGGTGTGGACGCGAAGGCCGTTCACGGTTTCTGGTGTCGGGGTGGTTGACTTTCTGTTCTGCCAGACGTGCCCTGGTGCCCCCGGCTGCCGGCCAGGATGGAGAAGCGCGGAGCTGGGTTTGGAGAGCGTCGCGGATGGAGCGGAGGGGTTGCGGAAGGAGGGCGAGCAGCTTCGCTGCGAGGGCCGAACGACGCTGCTTGCAGCTTTAATTAATCTTGTTTTTTACAGATTTTAAAAATCACAAAGTTTCAAACAGACTTTAGGACAAAGATAAATAACTTCTAAAAGAGATCGTGTTAAATAAGTTCCTTCTCACTGACAAGGCTCCAAACTAGGGATGCAACGATACCGATACTTGGATCTGAGTACTCGCTGATACCGATACTTCTACCACGCAAAAAATGCAATGATTTGGAATACAGATTTTATTTTCTTCTCTGCTTTCAACAGGAAGAGACTGTGAGGTAGATAAAAAGTAAAATATATGAATGGAAATCATCACAAAAATAAAATATTAGGTGAGCAGAAATGACAAGTTACAGTGAAGCCATTTTCAAGCAACTGCATCGGTATCGGTTCCTGGTGTCGGTTAACTTTTACCAATACCGATATTGGTATCGTATCGGTGCCGATACCAATATCGGTATCGGTTCATCCCTACTCCAAAGCACCTATACAGTTGATCCCTCGTTTATCGCGGTAGATGCGTTCCAGACCTGGCCGCGACAGGTGAAAATCCGCGAAGTAGGGACACCATATTTACAGTACAGTACTATATTGAATTATTGTATGATCACATTCTCTTTTTGTGGGTAAAACTCAAGAAAAAAATTTTTTTTACTTGTTTTTTTTATAGTTTTATTACAAAAAGTGCATTTTATGATGAAACTGATGAAAAAAAACAGGAATTTCTTGATATTTCGCATAGAAAAATGCAGCGAATCCATGAAAAATACCACAAATCGGCAAATTTCCCTTGAATAAGGCTCCAAAGAAAAAATCCGCAAAGTCGTGAATCCGCGATAAACGAAACGCGAAGTAGCGAGGGATCACTGTATTGAGATTGAAATGTTTAAAAAAGACACTAAAACCCTTGAAAAACTGCAAAAATCTTCTAATGAACCCCAACCCTCAGAGGAAAAGTATCAACGCAAAACTAAACGAAGCTAAATAAAATAAGTGTAATTAATTATCTGTGGGATGCACCAACACTGACCTGCCAGGCTGTCCAGTGTGTGTCTGTGGAGTCCGCTGGTCAGTCCAACAAACACCACCTCCTTCCTGAAGTCACCGATTCCTGAGAAGGGCAGGACCAGGTCCCGCCCACTCAGCAGCTCAGCCACTGTCGGCTCCGCCTGAGCCAGCACAGCTCCAGCCCTATTTATATAAAAACTCACATGAATACACACCGACTCATGAGCTAATCCTCTTCCACGCTCCATGTCACGTTACATAACGACAGAATCAAGCGATTACTAAAGACGGGAATCTTCTCCTTTCAGGGTGTAGATTACTCATCAGTCACATAACGGGGCTTTCATGCTTCAGAGCTGCACTCGGATTCATCCAAACACTTCAGTTTTCTATTAGCGCGTCGTGTTAGAGGGTTCTTTCGGATTTCTGCTAAAATAAAGGAAAGGCTTAACATTTATGTACCCCAACTGAAATAATCTGATGAATGTAAATGAGAGGTTTGCAGAAAATTATTGTTTTAGAAAGTAAAGAAATTGTAAAAAAGGACAAATCTGGGAAAGATAAATGCAAATATCGTCGTCGTCGTCGTCTTCCTCCGCTTATCCGGGTCCGGGTTGCGGGGGCAGCATCCCAACTAGGGAGCTCCAGACTGTCCTCTCCCCGGCCACCTCCACCAGCTCCTCCGGCAGGACCCCAAGGCGTTCCCGGACCAGATTGGAGATGTAACCTCTCCAACGTGTCCTGGGTCGACCCGGGGGCCTCCTGCCGGCAGAACATGCCCGAAACACCTCCCCAGGGAGGCGTCCAGGAGGCATCCTGACCAGATGCCCAAACCACCTCAACTGGCTCCTTTCGATCCGGAGGAGCAGCGGTTCTACTCCGAGTCCCTCCCGAATGTCCGAGCTCCTCACCCTATCTCTAAGGCTGAGCCCGGCCACCCTACGGAGGAAACTCATTTCGGCCGCTTGTATCCGCGATCTCGTTCTTTCGGTCATTACCCAAAGCTCATGACCATAGGTGAGGATTGGGACGTAGATCGACCGGTAAATCGAGAGCCTGGCTTTCTGGCTCAGCTCCCTCTTCCCCACGACAGATCGGCTCAGCGTCCGCATCGCTGCAGACGCCGAGCAATACATGCCAATTATATGCAAATTTACCATTTTGGTTAATTTTTTTTTAATTCTAACTTATTTTATAGTTCTAATAGATGTTATCTTAGACTTCATTTTATTGAATTCATTATTATTTAAATCAAAGACATTTTTTGACTAATTGATTAGAGTGATTCATATTGAAAGTATTGATATTAAAAACTATTTCTATACCCCAGTAGTTAAAAAAGGACAAAACTTGAGATGCGCCAAATAAATCAGCTGGTGGTTGGAATATACCAGTATTAGCAATAACAAATGCATCACTGTCAAGCAGCAATGAAAGAAATCTAACATTTTTCCCTGTCAGTGAACACACCATGACTTTGTGCTAAGTCAGGCTAATATCAGATCTAAAATGTGGAAGATTTTACTTTCAGAATCACAACGTTCAAGTCTCGGAAATTTAATTTGTTTTAAATTAGGGATGAATCGGATACTCGTTTCAGACGAGTATCCGGTACGGATAAAGCATTTTTGAGGAGTACGAGCATGAAACGAGTAAAACAAACTCGTAAATATCTGTAATTGTGCTGAAGGAAAATCCTCATTGGGTAACTGACTGCCTTCACGCTCTGTGACTGGCCAGTCAAATAGAGCGCCCGCCCCTCCCTACACACAAAACTCTGCAGCCGGGAACTCACAGCTCAGTGAAGCCCTGTCCACACGTAGATATTTTTCTACGTTTTGGCCTGTCATCCACACGAAAACGGATCTTTTTAAAAACTCCGGCCAAAGTGAAGATCTGCGTTTTCTCCGTTTTGGGTGTCTGCGTGTGGACAGATGAAACCGGAGTTTTAAGGTCCGCAACGTCACTTTCCGCGACAAAAAATGCTGACATCACGTGTGCGACCTGTGTTTACACTAGCCGACAGCATGGATGCCCTCAGAGCTGCGCTAGCTTTATCAATTGTCCAAGCGCTGTTTGCTTGTTTGTGTTTGCAAGCGGAATTACTGCTCCTTGCGGAAGACCACAGACGAAGGACGAGGTTAAGAACGGGGGAAGTACTGCCGCCTACAGGTCTGGCATGTCCTTAACAACGTATTTATCCGGGTACGTGTGGACAGAGTCTGTTTTTAAAACGAGGTGGTGTGGATGCAAGTTTTTGGAGGGGCGGATATTCGTTTTTAAAGAAACCCGGCTACGTGTGGACTAGGCCTGAGTCCGCGTCCAGTCCATCCACGCACACACACACACACACACAGACAGTAACGGATCTCTCTGTGCTTGCTTCACTGTTCAGGTTTCTTCAGGACTCCCTATGTTTTCTTCAGTTTGCTACTTTTTAAAAGTAACTTTAGAGTTAAAGTTATTTAAAGTCAGCCCCCCCCCCCCCCCCACCCCCCCACCCCCACCCTACGGGGATAAGCGGGTTCAGAAAATGGATGGATGGATTTCTTGCAATTTTATGAAATCTGCATGCACTTTTTTTATTCAATGTAAAAATCCTACTGTGTATAGACACTCTGCATGAGGTAATAAGTGCATGATTCATTTATAGGATCCAATTAGAACCTCTGCAGAGTGAAAACTTTGCACATTCTTGGTGATCACAGCTAAACCACCAAGCTAAACCCAAAACAGCTTCATCTGACTGAACTCACAGATCTACTTGCTCCTGACTGGCGAGGTGCGTGACGAGCAGCGTGATGTGAAGAGCTGGGACGGGGATCATGGCTTTAGCCAGTCGGGGCTCCTTCAGGAGAATGGCTTCCTGGATTTCAGTCACAGCAGACTTTATCTATGGTTGAAAAAATTAACTTTTTGTAACTGGAAGCTGATTATTTACTGGAGCTAGATTATGATGAGAAGGAATAATAAGGAAAGTTAACAGCTGGTTAAACGTTGTTTAAAGACACAAAACACCTGTAAAGTACCTGGATGTTAGTGATGGGGATGGACACAAAGTAGTTTGGTCGCTGGCTCTCTTTCTTTTTCTTCTTCTGGTCTCCATCCTCCTCGCTGTCCACTCGGCCCCCGCTGTCCCCCCGCTTCCGCTTCCTCTTTTTCGCTGACGATTCAGGGATGGGAACTACGCAAAAACACCACTTAAGTTGAACTCTAATCAGTCAGACGCTCACCGCTAAAGAAACTTAAGTGTGTGTTTAGAGAAGTACTCACATCCTAGCTCTTTCCAGGCAGCGGGGCTGGTTAGTGCAAAAGGAAGCTCCGACATCAAACCGGCAGAAGCCTCGTCAGACTTCAGCTTCTTCTTCTTTAACTTCATCTTCTCCTTTCTCATCTTGTTTCTTGATATTTTTTTATTTGACTCCATAGGAGCTGCTTAATTGATGGATTATAAAGAAAATAAATACATAAATAACAGAAAATACAGGAAAAAATGTGTTACTAGAATGCTGGTAAGGTAGTGCATTAAAGTGAAACTTTATCAAAAAAACACTCGGCAGCTTAACATTAGACAGTCAGGTCTACCCACATGAGACGGTAGAGGCTCTAGTTTCTGTGGGGACCTCCATGTTGTCTGCAACCACCTGACCTTCATTAATAATCTCTTGTGATGTGCTCTGCGGGCCAACTCGACCTCCACCTCCACCAAAACAAGCTTCATCATCCTCATCTTCATCGTCTGAGGCAACATTAGCCTCTGGTCCATAGGAGATGCCGGCTGCTTGCATCACCGATGGTAAACAGACGCAGGACTGTGATCTAACCTGAAACAAGAAAAGTTTGTGAAATTCATTATTTATATGTGGCAAGGTGGAGAAACGAGGGCCCGGGCGGGAGTCGATCCCCAGACTCCGGGCGAGAGTCAAGCGAGCTAACCAGTACTGGACCAGGATCCTGCCAACAACGCCAAAGGTGGCAAGGTGGCAGGATTCATGCGGTGCTGTCAAGTAGGTCCGTGGATGTGACGTTTGTGGCGCCCTGCACGGGAGCACGAAGACGTGCTTGTGGAAAGAGGGGGGAAGATGTGACAGCGTGAGTGTCCTGTCACAGTGTCCCGATTGGTCATGCGCCCTGGCTATTTGAACAAGGGATATCCCTTTGGCTGACTGGTTAGCGCGCGTGACCTTCACCCGGGAGTCTGGGGTTCGAATCCCGCCCGGGCCCTCGTTTCTCCACCTTGCCACATACAACTGATGATTTCGTGACTTCAGCAAATGTTTTTCTTACCTGCAATCCGATCTTGTGTGTAATAGGCGTAAACGCTTTGACTTTACAGTTAATGGTATAAAAATGCTTCTGAACCGGAAGTTTACTAACGACATAAAATCTTTGTAAGCAAAACAAACCGAGGTTTAAAGGGACGCGCCCGAATGTCATAATAGATCTTAGACTTCTTAAATGACGTACTGGTCAAACGTAGCGTACTAAAACATACGAATCCTACAAACACATATAAACGTTTTTAAATGACGTTTAGAAACACTCACTCGCTTTCCCAAAGCTAACACCTGTTGAACGAAATCCAACTGCCAAATATGTGCTTTTCCATTTCAGCTCTCTCCAAAGAGCTGGGCAGCTAACTTCAACAACAAATAAAATAAATACATATTTAGGCTAATTAGCCATAATGCTGTCGGTCAAAGCATTCCGACGGTGACTTTTGGCTTAAATTGTTCTAATTACAAAGAAATGTTACAAGGCTTTAGCACTCATGCTAGCTGATAGCATCGACCGGATAAAGCACTTTGTAAACATTACGAAATATCCGGTCTAGACATTGTCTTCAAAATAAAAGCACATACGCCAGATTTGTCATTTCTGCCTACGGCTCTGAATATTTCTACCACTGCACAAAATTATAATATAAATACACAATAACTAATCTCCAAATAAATGTTGCTTTATTTCCAAATTGTCATGTGTCCATACAGATGTTATAGGAAAATATTATATACATACATATATATATATATATATATATATATATATATATATATATGTATGTATATATATATATATCATGTTTTCATGGGACACATTAGTGTCTAATCCGTAAATAGTAAATTAAACAATGTCCAAGGGACCCCCACTCAGTTCCTTACAACTGATTGGCTGGGAGTAAGATCCTGGACATTACAGTATATAATGCACACACCTCTGGTTTCAATCCTAAATATACTTGGAATGCCAATTACAGCCTCTGCATTCTCATTATATTATCTGGTAATTCTCTTTACCAGAATAATGGACTGTCAGCCTAAGTGAATGGTTTGGTTAGATGTAAACTGCAATAAGTGAATCCACACAATTGACCAACAGGCTTTAATGGTTTGATTTGGAAAAAAACAAACAAAGATCCTTACAAAACAGTAAGTCAAGCATACATAGCTGTCATGGGTTGTCCTCAAAAGGCCATCACTTAACATTTTTTAGAAGAAATGTGTGCTGCAACCAGAAAAACAAAACGAACCATAAACCTAGCCTGATATTCTAGGTCAACAAAGATTAAGTTCCAGATAACGTGACAATTAAACCTGTACATTTTGTTTTACTAATAACTTTAATTGATTCAATTGTAATGACCATCAGCATGTGGGACCAACAAGTAGATCCTCTATACATTTATTGTGACATCAGACACAATAGCAGCAAGCACAATGAAAAAAAAAGAACCATCTGGGAAACATGATTTCATGTCACACAGATTATGTTTATGTGTTCAGGATTGCCGGCATTATTTTCTTATTGACCAATTCATTGGATTCCAACTATACAACTTGCTTTGATTATCTCTCTGAGATAAAGAGTGGGTGACAACACCTGTATCATAGCTTGATAGACTGGCACTGTCAGATAAATAACCACTACGTACATCTGTTATTCCATATTTCAGCATTTCATTTTTCACTGCAGTGATGGCTTCGACGTTCTTCTGGCAAACGATTAGCCCAGGCACTTTCTCATGGTAGAAAACATTAACATGCAGCACAATGTTATGGTGGTCAGGCCAGGTCCTCATTGAGGGAACGTACTTTACTTCGTGAACGTGGTGCATCAACAGCAAAATGACAGGTTTGTCGCCTGTAAAGAAAAAATGAGAACAAATTTGAGAAAAGTAAACAATACAAGATGAGGCTGCTCTGAATGAGAGCTGTGTCAGCAGAAATGAACATCGGTTTGTAACACAAATAATGAAAAACTCCTGATTACGCCGGGGACACATCGGCCATCGAAGTGCCGCGAAGCGCCGGGAGGCGAAGCGCTCACGAAATTCGGCCGCTGCTCCTTAGTTCAGACCAGACGCTTGTTTCTCCGCTCCGGTCGAGGCGCGCCTGGTAGTTTTTCTTTTAACCACTTGGTGTCCTCCCTTTCCTCTCTGCCTTCTCCTCGACACCCCCCTCCCCCTTGCTGTTTGTGTGTGTATGTTTGTACGTGTGTGTGTGTGTGTGTGTACCAGTTGTTAATAGCTGTCCTACGACTTTCTGCCTCTCTGTCCCGTTTGCTCCAGTTGAAAGACACCCAAAACCACACCCCCTTCACGTGGTCACACAGACACACAAGTTCGCTGTGTGTGTGTGTGTGGTTTTTATGCAGGGTCTGTTTCATGAACACATTTGACTATCGCGGAATTGTATTTTGAAATGCTTTATTTTGTTAAATTTACCGGCCTGCCTCTTATGTCTAGGTTTGATTTCCTGCCAGAATTGACGCGGTCCACCCGCGGCTCGCGAAAAAAAATAGAGCAGACGCCGAAACGATCGCTGCACGGCGCGGGCTGGAGCGCCGGTGCCCATGTGGTCTATAGAACAGGATAACAAGGGCGCCGAATGAAGGCGGTCCCCTTTTCGCGGCGCTTCGGCGGCCAGTGTGTCCCCGGCGTTAAGCTGATTAATCATCTTCAATATCGTGAACTCAAGATTAAAAGTTGAAATGTAAAAACGTGATTAGAAACGGATTCGTGTAAAGTTTATCTGTGCTTCCTCTCACCTGGAACCGTTTTCATGGCTGCTTCAACATCTGTCCCAACACGAGAAACGATTGGACAGAAGACTAAAGTGATCTCAGAATCATCTACACATGTAGTCGCTTCCACTTCAACCAAGTTCAACTCTGGAGCTGAAGACCGTATCTGGTCGAGAATCTGCCCATTGGCGTTGAACGTTTTGCCGCTGACCACCGTCTTGTATTTCACTGTTACTGTGACAGAAGGTTCATAAAGATATGAAACTTTAAAGTGTAGTTAGAGTAAATCTACAGTAAATAATCCTCAGTGTATGGTATCTGGGTAAAAGGAACCAATCATAACTAATACGTGTGCCACAGCAGTCACCTGATCAGAACTGTAAACACAGAAAAACATTCATGATTTCAGTATGACGCGATAAATGTCATCTTACCTGGAGGTTTCTGTGAATGGCTATAAGAGCTGCCATAGGAACTTTGGCTGCTGTTGCCATGAGCGCCCGTCATCCTGGAACTTTCTGTCACATAAACTAGCAGGAAGAATTTCATAAACCCAACCGTTAGTTAGGTCTGATTCAAACAGCCCAGTGTAAAATACTGATTAAATGGTAAATGGCCTGTATTTGATATAGCGCCTTCTAGAGTCCTGGAACCCCCCAAGGCGCTTTACAACACAATCAGTCATTCACCCATTCACACACACATTCACACACTGGTGGGGATGAGCTACAATGTAGCCACAGCTGCCCTGGGGCGCACTGACAGAGGCGAGGCTGCCGAGCACTGGCGCCACCGGTCCCTCCGACCACCACCAGCAGGCAACGTGGGTTAAGTGTCTTGCCCAAGGACACAACGACAGCGACAGACTAAGCGGGTCTCGAACCTGCGACCTTCCGATTGCGAGGCGAGCACTTAACTCCTGTGCCACCGTCGATTATTTAAAACAGAAAATAATGTTTTTCTATTAGATTACATAAACAGTGAGGCAACAACTACAAGTAAAGTGAGACCCACCTTGTGAGGGTCGTGTGCTGAGGACTTCTGTATTCTTATCACTCCGCTTAGCCACAGCATTTGATGTATAAGCTAGGAGACAAAGTAGCATAGTAGTGACAGGGTATCTGCAGGTTTAATGGAGCCAAATTTAAGACTTTTAAAGACCTTTTTTAAGGCCACTTTGACCAAATTTAAGCTATTTTTAAAATTAAATTTAAGCTATAATTTCCAGCTATTGCCTGGAACCGATGCTAACCACGTCGCGAACGTGGGATTAGCATCCAGTTACCATTAAACTTCTCCATGGCGCAAGCTCCCACTAGCTTAACCAGCTAATGCGCTCATCTAAAAATAGCCCCCTTTCACAACCAACTGAATGTGTACGGTTCCGCTTACGCCAACATCGTACACAGAAAATCCTGAACACTAACTAGAAATTCACAAACTTTTTATTGAAATAAAAGAATCTTGTTTAGTGGGCCTTTGGTAATTTAAGACCTTTGGAAACTGTATTTAAGGATTATTTGTCATTTTTAAGGATTTTTAAGGCCTTAAATTTTCAAAAGCAAATTTAAGACTTTTTAAGGACCCGCAGATACCCTGAGTAAAAATAATAATAATAGAATATAGTGAAACATGTGCAGGGCTTGCTCTAAATTAAAAGAAGAGTTTAAAAGCACACACATTGATTTCTGTGACGTGAGAAATGATTCAAGTTTTAAGGGTCCTGCTTTTCCCACAAGTTTCCTACAGCACTCCCCAACAAAGCACTGAACCTTTTTAACGTGACAACAGGTGGATAAAAACATGCAACCTGTTCCACTGGAGTTTAACTCTGACCTGATGCAGGTCCCTGCCTTGGTTGAGCATCACGGCTGGTCTCTAGAAACCTAATATTAGCCTCCAGGAACTTTTGCACGTTGTTCTGCTGAGTCTGCATGTCCTTCAGGATGTTCAGGTATTTCACCAAGACCCCGTTGTTGGACAGAGCAGCTGGACAGGAAGTTTAAGGTTTTATGTTGGAACACTAAATTATGTTTAGAGGTTTTTATATAAACAATATATATATATATATAAATAAACACTTTACCTTTGAGATTATCATGTGAGATGAAAGCACGGAGATCATTTAGGAGCTCAGTTACTGAATCCTGTGTTAACAGAACAACAAATAAATCAAACTGAACCAGTTTTAAAGCACAACAAGCACAAAGATCAAACTTTCCTTTTCGTTTATTGTTTCAAAGATGCTCTTCCTCATCCGTAGCTTATCTGGCCCAGGAAACAGTTCTTGCAGGTCCACTCGACTCAGACACTTGATCTCTGAATCAGATCTTAAATCAGCCTCTGGAAGGACAGGTGTGGTGATGGACACATGTTCAGAATGACTATGACATCATTATATAATAAGAACTTTAACCCCTCCCACCGTCCTAATGGATGTGACCCCGTGAGGAAAGCTGACCATTGAGCAGGGTTGATGGTTCAAATCAAATCAAATCAAATCAAATCAAAGATACTTTATTAATCCCAGAGGGAAATTAGAGTTCCAGTACACACAATTCAGAGATCAGACATACATGGGCAAGACGCATGACAAGAATTGGTGACTGTGGTCATCCGCAACCCTGAGTCGCGCTACCTTAATAGAGATAAGAGGGTAACATGAGGATTGGTTCAGGTGGAGGGAAAAAAAGGCACTTCAGAGTTACCCTCCCACCAGGAGGGCAGCTTTGCTCTGCAAAAAACACCTCAGACATACATGCAACAGACTTCAGACATTACACAACATAAGTGTCCACTAGGTGGGGTGGTGGGTTGGGACTATCCCCACTTCAGTTCCTGCAGCCACAATGAAGCAGCGCATGTCACCTCAGTGTGGATAGGGGGAGGAGCATTTAGGGTTGGAGGGTTGCAGTGACCCTGGATGCTTCAGCGGCCTTCCCGCAGTCCCGCCCAGGCTGGGAAAGGAGACAGAGTTGAGTTGCCATAGCGACGGCACAGTCCACATATCTTCTGAGGGGGGAGTTTTCGTTGGAGCCTTGCAGGCTCAAGGGCGCCAGATTCCGATTAGAAATTGTTTTGGGGCCAGACAGAGATAATTTCCTCTCTGTCTTACAGTTTGTTGGTCCTCAACCTCTCAGAATCCCAATAATGGACATTAATCTATCCCAATCCGTGCTGATTCGTCCACTCTCTCCTTGATGGCATCATCTTTTGTGCCAAAGAATGAATCTCCGCCAAAGTCCCAAGTTTACGATTCATCTAGACAATTATTTGAGGCTGTGAATTCACAGCGTGGTGCAAACCATCTCTGAGCTCAGGATTCAGGCCAATATTCCTCGACAGCTCGTTAATTTTCCGGTAAGCCAGGTAGCCTCCAAGGCCAGTGAGCAGGAAACCTGACACCAACACCACAAATATCCACACGTCTTCAAAGTCCTCCACAGACAGCTGAGAAAGACAGACCAAGTTCACTTGGGTCCATGTGGCAGGGGTGAGGAGTGAGCACCACCTCACCCCTGCCGCATGGACCTCAAGGGATAGACCATCAATGCTGCTCAATGGTCAACTTTCCTCACGGGGTCCCCCCATAAACACAGTGGGAGGGTTAAAAAGCTCAGATCTGAATAAGGGACAGATGAATGTTCATGAGTAAACAGAACTATAACAGCATTTAGAGTTCCTTCACACTGATGTCAAATGTCTGATTCATTCAAATAAATTTCACTTACTTTCTATTTCATCAGCAGCCTGGTGGTCAATTTTTCTTATTTTCTTCAATAAACCAGACATGATTTCACCTGAAGAAACAATCCAGACAGAATAGGAAGATGAATCACTCATGATGTGTCTTTTGTTGGATTAACATGAAGACATCAAACGTACATTTCTAGTATCAAAGATCAAAGCTTCAGCTAAACTACAAACATAATCTAGTCGATTTAAATAAACAAAGGTGTAACGTCACGCGTATAAACCTTTGTTGTCTGTTTCCATATTCTGTTCCTGAACATTGTCGTTTCCTGGAAGAAGAACAGGAAATAGAATTAAAACTCAGCTGGAGGCTGATGACTGAACGTCATGACGACATGACAACGTTACAAAACACTGGTGTTTTAGTGAATATTGTTATATTTGTAAATATTATCTTCATACTTGCAAAACAGACACATTCATTAGTAGAATTTAAAATAAATTAAAAAACTGAACTACTTTGGTCCTCTGGGTCAACAAAGACAACAGATTATATGAGAGATAAACTTGTCAGATTTTTGTAAATACTGTTGATACAAACATGCATTTGTCCCTCCTCCATAGTTTTTTAGTCACTCAATTCAATTCAAAAATACTTTATTAATCTCAGACAGAAATTCAATTGTTTCAACACACACAATTCCAAGATCAGGCATACACACATAGACACATGACAAGAATTGGTGACTGTGGTCATTCGCAACCCGAGTCGCGCTACCGTAATAGATCAAGAGGGTTTATAAGAGGATAGTCGGGGGAGGGGGAAAAAGGCACTTCAGAGTTACCCCCGACAGAGAGGGTAGCTTTGCTATGCAAAAAAACACCTCAGACAGATATGCAGACAGACTTCGGACGATACACAACATAAGTGTCCACTAGGTGGGGAGGTAGAGTTGGGACTCTCCTCACTTCAGTGCGTGCAGCCGCATGGGGCATCGCTCATCGCTCATCACCTCCGTTTGGACAAGGGAGGGAGATAATGGGTTAGAGAGCACATTGACTCCTAGATACGGTTCCACGGCCTTCACCGGTCACAGTCCCGCCCAGGCCGGGATAGGGAGAAAGGGTTTCCATAGCGACGACAGCATTCCACATTTCTTCTGAGGGGAGTTTTCACTTCAGCCTAACAGGCTCCAAGGGCACCAGATTCAGATAACAAGAGGCAGAGATAATTTCCTCTCTGCCTTGGTGTTCTGTCGGTCTTCAACCCCTCTAGATCCAATAATGGCGTTATCAAACTATTCCAATCCGTGCTGATCCGTCAACTCTATCCTTGATGGCATCAACCTTCTGTGCCAGAGTCTGAATCTCTGCCAAAGTTCCAAGCTTACGACTCATCTCAACAATTATATGAGTCTGTGAGTTTACAGCATGGTGCATTCGGGATTAAGCCAATATTCCTTGAAAGCTCGTTAATTTTCCGGTATGCCAGGTAACCGCTCAGGCCAAACAGCAGAAATTCCGACACCAAAACGACAAATATCCAGACATCTTCAGAATCCTCCACAGACAGTAAAGAGAGGCAGATCAAGTTCCAGTGTTTCCAGGAGTCCATGATATGCCCAGCTGGCTCTGTCCCAGAGGGGCATCCGGGGGGCCCCTTCTCCCGTTCTCCTCGTTGAAAGGACTTTGTCAATCGCGTTGAGAGACCAACTGACCAGATCCATGTTTAATAATTTACAGTTTCCAGAATAAATGCAGAGATGTGCGGTGCACAGGCAGACAGGACAAAGAGCCTTCGGAGGAGCAGGGAGGGAGAGGAGAAAAAGGCGCCTGTACTCTCCAAGAGCCGGAAGAAGAAGGTATATTAGACACAATGGCTGCAAACACTAAGACACCATGCAGTGAGAACATGAACCATCTAGGAACCATGCTTTCGCATTATTACACATTATGATTAACTAACGCAACATTTTAACCCAGCTCACGATGAGCAGTTTCCCATGCAGTAAATGATTTATACTGTTTGTGAGGATGTCCTGCTACTGTTGGAGAAACCCATTTGATTCCTCGTCACAAAGATACTCCTTGTGCCCTCACTGCCATGAACAAGACTTTGAGACAGAGGAGGAGGAAATTCACCCCCTCACAGGGTTGGGTTATATGGAGTAAAATCCTGTCACATTATTGTTTTTCACATCGGTTGATATCAATATATATCACAATGTGAAACAAAAATGAAATGCCAATTTTTGATGTCCTCAATCGTTAAAGGTAGGGATTACCCATCCTGGTCTTGGAGGAACGCTATCCAGCATGTTTTAGTTGTTTCCACTTTTGTTCATCAATGCACGCTTACTGGATCCCTTAAGTGTTTGTGAGAAGGTCTCACATGTGATCCTTTGAGAAGTAGGGCTCTTGGGTAGGCGGAGTCTTATTTCTCCACCTGTCCCATTGAAACCACTATGATGATTGGTGGAATGGCGCCATGGCGCAAACTGTGGCTAGCTTGATATCTGATGAACGTTTGGGTGAAATCTCGTAAGAGTTTGTGAAAAGGCACAACGCAATCATTTATGATGTGAGTGGAGGTGTCTAAATACAGACGTTGGCCTCATAAAGGGTTAAAACAGACCAGTGTAAATGATTTTATATCATATTAGATAAACAGATAAACAAAACTAAAATAGTGAATCCTACCTTGAGGGGTTTCTGAACTGGAGATGTTGGTACTGTTCTCACTCTGGTGGGTCACAGCAGTTGATGTAGAAGCTGGGAGACAAAGTGGCTTTTAAACAAAATATTATTAATATTAAAATCAAGTCAGACTGAAACATGTGCGGGTCTTCCTTTTGACTAGAAGGACAAATGTTTTTCATTTATATTCTGATCCTATCTTCTATTCCAGCTGACCTGATGCAGTTTCCTGTCCTGATGGAGCATCACGACTTTCCTCCAGGAATCTAATATTAGCCTCCAGGAATTTCTGCACATTGTTCAGTTGGGTCTGCGTGTCCTTCAGCTGGTGAAAGTAGTCCACCAAAACCCCGTTGTTGGACAGAGCAGCTGGACAGAAAGTTTAGGGATTTTATAGGAGTAGCTAATTTTGTTTACATAAACAAAATTACAGATAACACTTTACCTTTGAGATTATCACGCGGGATAAAATCTTTGAGTTTTGTCAGGAGCACATTTGTTGGATCCTGTGTTAACAGAACAATTAATAAACCAAACTGACCTAAATAGTGAGTTGTACTGCCACTGAGCACGGCAGGCGTAAAGATCAAACCCACTGTGTTGCTTATCGTTTCAAAGATTCTCTTCCTCATGCTCGTCTTCTCTAATCCAGGAAACATTTCTTGCAGGTCCTCTCGAGTTAGAGACCTGATCTCTGAATCCGACCTAAAACCAGCCTCTGGAAGGACAGGTGAGGCAGTGAACACGTGTTCAGAAGGACTATGACATCAACAGGAGTCATTATATGATAAAACCTTCAAAAAGCCCCGACTTTATTAATGGACAGACTAATGTTTATAAACACAGAACTGTAACAGCATCTGGAGTTGATTAAAACTTACCTTTCACGTGATTAGCGGCATTTTTGTCAATGTTTCTTATTTTCTCCAATAAAACCGACATGATTTCACCTGAAAAAACAATACAGAGAGCCAAAAATTAATTCCTAATGGGATAATGAAGAAATTGAAAGTGCGGCTTTCAAGCAGATCACAGAATACCTCTCACAAAGCTGTCTGTTTGACCCTTACCAATCTGGGTTCAAAAAGGGCCACTCCAATGAAACTGCTCTGTTAGCAGTGACTGAATCCTAAAAGAAGCTAGAGCGACTGGCAAATCCTCGGTGCTTATCCTGCTCGACTTATTGGCTGCATTAGACACTGTCAACCATGGCTTCCTTTTGTCCACACTCTCTAGCATGGGCATCACAGAGAAAGCACATGCCTGGTTTGAATTGTACCTCACCGGATGATCATTCAGTGTATCTTGACTTGGACAATCTTCTACCGTGCACCATCTTGCCACAGGAGTCCCCCAGGGCTCTGTACTAGGGCCTCTTCTCTTTGTCATATACACCACCTCACTGGGTGAGATCATGCGATCACATGGCTTCTCCTACCACTGGTATGCAGACGACACCCAGCTCTATCTGTCATTTCCACCGGACGACCACACTGTCTCTGCACGAATATCAAACTGTCTCTCTGACATATCAAAATGGATGAAATCCCACCATCTCCAACTCAACCACTCTAAAACTGAACTACTTGTCATCCCAGCAAAACCATCCATACAGCACAATATCTCAATCCAAAATGACTTCCTATCTCTGGCTCCTTCAAAGGCAGTTCGAAATCTGGGTGTTGTGATTGATGAACACCTGACCTTTAAAGATCAGTTGCCTCTGTTGCTCGTTCATGCCGCTTTACGCTGTATAACATACGAAAGATCAGACCATACCTAACACAACATGCCACCCAGCTCCTGGTGCAATCTACTGTCATCTCCCGCCTCGATTACTGCAACGCCCTTCTAACTGGTCTTCCAGGCTGTACTGTGAGACCTCTTCAAATGGTCCAGAACGCAGCGGCGCGTCTGGTCTTCAATCAGCCAAAAAGAGCACACGTCACCCCTCTGTTCATTGAGCTCCACTGGCTACTGCTAGCAGCACACATCAAATTCAAATTGCTAACACTAGCATACAAAGTACGGCTCCCATCTACCTAAATCCTCTTGCAAAGGGTTACGTCTCGGCCCGGCCGTTCCGGTCATCACAGGATTGTCGGCTAGCAGTGCCTACACCACGCTCAGGACAATCCAAACTCTTCTCATGCATCGTTCCACAAATGTGGAACGACCTACCAAGCACTACCAGAACAGGGGCTTCCTTTTCAATTTTCACTCCTGAAGACCCTGCTCTTCAGAGAGCATCTTCTAAACTAGCACCGTCCCTGACTGCGGTCAAGTGAGCGTCGTTCGTTTGTCCGTGGTAAAGTGAGCCGCACCTACAATTGAAGTGCGCATTTACATGGTACTTTACGGTAACACCGTCTGCTGCAGGATTAGAGCTGAGATGAGCGTCAGAATTGGCTGAAATCAGGATGACAGAGCTGCTAAATGTGCCTTTTTGATACACACATACTAAGTACCTCGAGTACTACCTGGTACCAAACTATGAACTACTTTTACTGTGTACTTTTTGAGTACTTGTACTTCAAAGCATGTCCAAAAAGCTAACGTGCAGTGTTTGAGAGAGGATAAAATGAGATTTGGTAAAAAGGACACTAGGCCACCTATACATGCATACTAAGTACCTCGAGTAGTACCTGCTACCAAAGTATGAACTACTTTTACTGTGTACTTTTTTAGTAATTGTACTTCAAATTACGTACAAAAAGCTCTACATGCCATGTTTGAGATAGGATGAAACGGTATTTGGGAAAAAGAACACTTCATACTTTGGTACCAGGTAGTACTCGAGGTACTTAGTATGCATGTATAGGTGGCCTAGTGTCCTTTTTCCCAAATACCGTTTTATCCTATCTCAAACACGGCACATTGAGCTTTTTGTACGTAATTTGAAGTACAATAACTGAAAAAGTACACAGTAAAATTAGTTCATACTTTGTTACCAGGTAGTACTCGAGGTACTTAGTATGCATGCATAGGTGACCTAGTGTCCTTTTTCCCAAATCTCATTTTATCCTATCTCAAACACGGCACAATGAGCTTTTTGTACGTACTTTGAAGTACAATAACTGAAAAAGTACACAGTGAAATTAGTTCATACTTTGGTACCAGGTAGTACTCGAGGTAGTTAGTATGCAAGTATAGGTGGCCTTGTGTCCTTTTTCCCAAATACCGGCTATCTCAAACACTGCACGTTGAGCTTATTGTACGTAACTTGTAGTACAATAACTGAAAAAGTACACAGTAAAAGTAGTTCATACTTTGGTACCAGGTAGTACTCGAGGTACTTAGTATGTATGTATAGGATGCTTAGTGTCCTTTTTTAAAAACACAATTCTATCCTTTATCAAAAAGGCACATTTAGCAGCTCCGTGTCATCATGACGTCAGCCCATTCTGTCGCTCATCTCAGCTCCTCTCCAGCAGCGAGACTTCAATTGTAGGTGCGGCTCGCTTGACCGCAGTCCCTCCCTGCACCCGTCCCCCTCTCTACTGTCCACTTCTTGTTCCCTCCTCTCCATGATTGATGTCAAGTTGTTGTTGTTATTGTTGTTAGCCTCAAGGGCAACATGCCGATCATCACTTGTAACTAGCTTTGGACAAAAGCGTCTGCTAAATACATAAACATAAATCGAAAGTTCACTACTGGAATCAAAGTTCGAAGCTTTAGCTAAACTAAACACGAGCAAAAGCTTAAGCTAGACGACTAATATAACTTAGGTTAGCAGTCGTTTAAGTAAACCAAGTAAAAAGAAGAAACACATAGAGAGACCTTCGTTTCCTCCGTCTGGCCGTAAACGCCTTCTATCGGAAAAGAAAAGTGAAAGAGAATGAAAACACAGTCAGCTGCAGTCTGACGCTAGAACGTAATGACGCAATGACGCAAAATGCTGGTACCCAACAGAACGTTCCAAAACACCGGTGTTTAGGTGAACATTGTGATTTTGTTTACCATGAAGAGCAGAAACTTTATATTGTAGGATTTAACACACACACACACACACACACACACACACACACACACACACACACACACACACACACACACACACACACACACACACACACACACACACACACACACACACAGAGCGGTTTCTAAATATATAGTACAAAAATGTATCGATTTTTATTGATTAAAAAATAAAACAGCTAAACCTTAATTATTTACTTTTTTAGTTCTTTAAACAAACATAAATGAACCAATTTGTGGCTTAAAAATGCAACTGAATAAGGCTTTTGAATATGTGTCTCATAACAACAAAGAAACCAGAAAAATAACAATTAACGAGTCTTACTTTTCTGAACTATCACACGTTGAAATAGAAGGAAGAATAATCTCATTTAATCCCACTCCTTCTCTAATAAATACCCACTTACTTCCTCTTTATCCTAACCTATCTGAAGCCATTTTTACATTCACTTCATGTAATTTTAACTTGGCCCACATATTCCAAATATTACTTCGCACGTTATCAACATATTTTAATATTGATACTTTAGTGGATTTGTATAATTTCTGTAGAAAGTGTTACAAATCAATGTTAAAGCATTATTTTTTTTGCAATTGAGCTGCTTTTGTTCCTGCTTGAAATGAAACATTTAAAAAAATTAGTTTGTGTTTGCAAAGACTGGCTGTTTTACACATAAGTGGGATTTTTTTTCACATAAATTTAAAATTTAAAGTGTTATATTTCCATTGTTTTAGTATTTAACAGAATATATTCTTTTTAGTATTAATTTGAATAAACTGAAAATCAGATAATTTTAATATGTTTGGGATTATTACCTATTAATACATAATTGAAATTTATTAGGTGAGCAAAATCCCTTTAAAACAGTGGACATATTTTCGTTGTTACCACCAGAGGGCGCATGATCTGAAGTTTGTAGCAAAGACATTCAAATCAATGTGGTTTGAATTGCTTTAGGACCTGCTTTAGCTTGTTGATTTAATACTTTTTACCCTGAAAATTAAATAATTTATGCCGTTGGCGCTAATTTAAACAGGCATTTAAAAATGTTTATTTTGAAATACTTTACAGGAAGTGCTCAGTTATGTCTCGTTTAGCTTTATGTGAACATTGTAGTAACAGCTTACTTCCGCAAGAGGGCAGAAAAAAACATACTCTCAAAAGCCAGAAATTCTGGGATGTAGTTGACCTAATTAATACGTATAAACCCTTAGTTTGTTGACATATTATTATTTATATTATAATTTGTCAAAGATTAGTCCTCATACATTATGTAAGTATGAGATAATTGACAAGCATAATATAAAAAAGGTAAAAAAATATTTCTACACAAAGAACAACGTGCTATAATTTATTTAATTTGCATCATCCAGTTGACTAGAACCAACAGGAACTTAAGAATCATAAGGGAAATATTACAATAATATAAAATAAAATATGTTAAATAGGAAATCACAGACCAACACTTATAGTGACGAATGAAACTCATAATGTAAATGCATCTACATTATCACATCATTATCAAAAGTAAGTCAGTTTAGTTACCACCAGAACTTGTGGTATTGTCTACTCCCCAGGGCCCCAGATACTTTTACTACAACTATCACTACTACTGGTGCTGCTACTGCTGCTGCTGCCACTGCTGAACAGCCTAAAACTGCCGCTACCGTCAACACGAGAGCCTCGATCATTAACAGCACCATCACATTCACCACTCAAGCTGCACCTATTCCTCGGCAGGCTGTATTCCAGTAATCTGCTCTGAATCCAGGAGGCAGCAGCATTGTTTTCTTGACATCTCAGTAATCCACCTGCTGCCTCGTGGTAGAAAACGTTGACGTGCAACACAATATTGGAGTAATGAGACCACGTTCTTCTTAAAAGTGTGTGTTTGACCTCCAGTGTGTGATGCATCAGAACCAGGATGACAGGTTCATTACCTGTGGAGAGCAAATCGACAGTCAGGGGGGAGACATTTCAAATTAAAGGTCCAGTCTGTTGGAAACAATGACATCTAGTGGTATGATGACGTATTTTTTTTTTTTTTACCTGTTACACGAGTCATGGCCGAATGAATGTCTGATCCACTCTGTGAAGTGATGGTGCAGAACATAATGATGATCTGACCATCCTGGCAGCATGAAATGAGCTGAAGCTTGTCCTGAAGGAGAGCCTGAACCTTGGCCATCAGCTGAAGGTGGGCATCGAAGGTCTTACCACTGATGACCATCTGGTACATCACTAGTGATGAAGAGGAGATGGACTCAGATTTAAACGTACTGAAAAGTTAAAGAGCAAGTCACCCCCTACAAGAAACTTACTCCACTCCCACTTCCTGTTTGAAAAATGCAACAAATGCTGTTGCCTGGCAGACCGAGAGGGCGGAGCCACTAACAAATACACACACACACACACAGGCTCACAACGGCATTGTGACATCATAATGTACCAGTTTACATCATAACATACCTCTTAGCCAATAGCGGTGGCAGATTTAAATTCAAATACAGTGCAGAATTTTTACCTGACGACGGTGCAAAACTCCCAGTTTAAGGCAGAATATTTAAATTTTAACTAAGGCCTAGTCCACACGTAGCCGGGTTTTTTTGAAAACGAATATCCGCCCCTCCAAAAACTTGCATCCACACCACCGCGTTTTAAAAACAAACTCTGTCCACACGTACCCGGATAAATACGTTGTTAAGGACATGCCAGACCTGTAGGCGGCAGTACTTCCCCCGTTCTTAACCTCGTCCTTCGTCTGTGGTCTTCCACAAGGAGCAGTAATTCCGCTTGCAAAAACAAACAAGCAGAAAGCGCTTGGACAATTGATAAAGCGAGCGCAGCTCTGAGGGCATCCATGCTGTCGGCTAGTGTAAACACAGGTCGCACACGTGATGTCAGCATTTTTTTGTCGCGGAAAGTGACGTTGCGGACCTTAAAACTCCGGTTTTGTCCGTCCACACGCAGACACCCAAAACGGAGAAAACGCAGATCTTCACTTTGGCCGGAGTTTTTAAAAAGATCCGTTTTCGTGTGAAAAAACTCCGTTTTCGTGTGGATGACAGGCCAAAACGTAGAAAAATATCTACGTTTTGGCAGATCCCCGGCTACGTGTGGACAGGGCCTGAGATGCACTGAAGTGCCAAATTATTGACGACACGTGTCTGCAGCACGATTAGACACTTGTTTATTTAGTTTATCAGCAAAAAAAGTTGATTTGGGGGTGACTTGCTCTTTAAGTTAAACTAGAATGAATAAAGATCTTACTATTATCTATTTTAAAGAGAAACATCTTATCATAAACACGCTTCGCTTCTTATTACTTTTTCATCCATTTTAGCACAGCAACAGAACATACTTTGTTTTGCACATTTCTAATAAACACTGCCTGAATCCGTCAAAAGAATGACATTTTGCAACATATCGGAGGCAAATTACTGCATAAGCAGAAGGAAGTGTGGCACATCGACTGAAAATTACTAGATTTTAAAGCAGAAAAAGTGTTATTGCAGCTGCAGGTGTAGGTCACCTTGAGCCCTGTAAGAATACACATCCCCTGGAGTGTCATGATCGACTGGAGAACAGGGGAGAGAAGAGTTTGGGCTGTTTAATCCACCTGGAAAATAAAAGATCAACATGTTCTCCCCATTCTGCTCTACTGAGGTGAATCTAAAACGAATCAAAGGAACAACGGAAAGATCTGAGACTTTGGAAACACAATGATTTTTTTTTTCATTATAGTCAAACTTGACTGTGACCTCGGCCACGTTGCTGCTCCAGTGGAGCTTTGCTGATGTCCTCCAGTAAACCAAGGTGGGCTTCGAGGAAACTCTGCACAACGTTCAGCTGAGTCTTCACATCCCTCAGGACGTGGAGGTAGTCCAATAACAACCTGTTGTTGGACAGAGCGGCTGGAATGAAAGCAACGAGATGATTTATTTAAGAAAAACTAGCTGTTTAAAGATATTTTCTGACTGAAGCTTTACCTCTGAGAGCATCTTGTGGGATGGAACCATGAAGCTCTTTGAGAAGCACAGCAACTGGTTTCTGTGTAAAAAAAAGCAACAATGGTGAAAAGTACACACATTGTGCTGTTGTGGGTTTGTGTGCGTGCAGAAATATCCCGGAAGGTGCTCACTCTTTTGTGTATTATTCCAAAGATTCTCCTCCTCAGCTTCAGCTTCTCAGGTCCAGGAAACAGCTCGTGCAGGTCTTCTCGGGTCAGAGACTGGATCTCTGAATCGCTGCAAAAATCTGCTCCTGAAATGTTTGTGTTTAAGGATTTAGATACTTCCAAAAGTCAATGTTGTTCATTTTTAGATGTGTTTCTGTGTAAAACTCATATTTACTACGTATCTCCCTGTAGATGGCTTCCTGATTGGCCTCAAGTCAATAAAAAATATTTATAGTTTATTTTCTGCAGATTTGATGAACTAACAGGGCTGCTTGATCATAATAAAAAATCCTAATCACAATTATTTAGGTCCTGAGCAAAATCCCAATTATTAAACACAATTGCTTGTTTAGTCAGGAAACACGTCCAGAGTTTAGAGGTTAGATGAGCTATTTATTATAAGACCTATAGGTCTTATAATTATATTATTTTATAATATATAATATAATATAATATAATAATAATTATAATTATTATTATATTATAATAAATTACAGCTAGAAAAGGCAGCCTAGACGTTTAAGCGGTGATTATTGTGAACTTTCTCACAGAAACATGTTTAAAAATGTCTGAAACTAGTCTTTACTCATCTATGACTGAACACATTCACTCTGCATGAGTAATTGTGACCTAAACAGGTGACAGTGAAGGACAGATGAACTGGTGCGCACGTGTAACTCTATCTATGGTTTGTTTACTGCGGAATTAGAGATCACGACCCTCGTTACTCACGTTCCAGCACAGAGGCAGCTGTCGGGTCTGCGCGCCTCAGTCTCCTCAGTAAAACAGACATGATTCATCCTGAATCAGACGAAATGAACAAATTACCGGGCTGCAACTCGCACAAACGCTGCACGACTATTCCGCGTCCGCAATAAGTCGCGCGCACAGTGCGCACTATTAATTCATTTCAAATCAAAAGCAACAAAGAGTGCACATCAAGTCGACAGGTAGAAAATTAAAGCTACATATGTCCCAGGCGATGATCTGGTTAAACATCACCCGTTTGGTCGCGTTTTGAAGAAGTTTGCTCGCTGATAAGTTTGATCACTCACCGTTTCCCGTCGGCTGAACGCAACTGGATTGATATTACGTCACGCCGTGGCGGACGCTCCGCTCTCTCATTGGTCGTTGCAGCAGGAGACGCTTCTTTAGCTCCGCCCCTCTTGTCCGCACTTTTCAATACGTATATGTGTTATTCCCACAACAAACTGTGACCTTCAGCCCCCCCCCCCCCCCCCCACACACACACACACACCCACACACACACATTATTGTTGTCAAACGTTTTTATCATAATTTTAACAAGATGAGATGATCACATTTTACAATTAATCATGAATCTTCTGGATATTGTGATGTAAACTAGTTCCTTAAGTTTCTAATCTGTGCCGGACGGCGTGTGAAAAGTGTAAAGTAGCAGTGGGACGTTCGTTTTCACAACTTCTACTGAGACTGCTATCTCTGCTTTGGTCATGTCTGTCTGACCTTCAGGCTGTGCGTCTGAATCTGAGACTGATGTGGCGTAAAGCCACTGAAACAGAGCCAACATGCTCACGTAGCAGAACCAGCAGGGTGCAGCACTGGCCAGTTTATTATCATCAGCCTCACAAACATCTAACGCACCTTAACATTTGGAATTTAACAATTAAAAATGAACTCCTCTCTAAAATCTTCCAACAACAGATCAAATGAAGGCCCGGTCATGTTCCACACACGCTCCTGGCGTGTTTAGTTGCACTTAAATCGACCTCTAAACCCATGAAACCTTCATCTTCACCCCTGAAAGCAACAACAGTTATCCTGCCGCTAAAAGCAGCAGAGGATTTGTCTGCAGAGTCGTTTAATGTGCAGCTGTTTGAAAGTGAAGCCTGACAGCAGACAGAATACTTCTTCTTCTCTTGTGTCAGACATTATGCAGGGGGGCAGAGAGACAGCGTCTTTAGGCAGCGCTCCATTGCGGAGGAGCCTTTGATGGAAGAAGTAAGGAAAAGTTTTGTGTGTATCTGACCGAAACATTACGCTGCAGCGACGTTCAAAGAGGACTGCAGCTCAACATGAGCCAATGAGCCTTTGATTCAGGCTTTTTAATCCTTTTATTGGTATTTTAAAATAACTTTAATTAGTAGAGGATGTCGTGCATGAAAATTAAATGCAGATATTTATGAATCTTTTCTTATGCTCCTGTTTCTTGAAGCAGTGTCTAACTGTGGCCAGAAGATGGTAATCGGGTGTCAGAGTCAGTAAACGTAGGACCGCTAACCTCTACGGCCGATTTGGCTTCTGGCCGATTCCACACGACGCCAAGTCTGCAGAGCTCCAGAAAACCTGACACAAAGCCAAGAGTTGATGCAAACTGATGTCTTGATCTCACTAGCTGCTCTCGGCCACATTTATCGAGATGAAAATGAATACGGTTGGATTTCATAAGTAAAATTTTGAAATGTGATCTAAATGTCTGATTCAGGTAATTTTTTATTGTCGAAGAGGCCGCCTTCACTTGCTTTAAAGACTTACTCACAGCCTAAACCTGAAGCTTCAAAATTAAAACAACAAAGACAAAACAAGTATAATAAAGACTGGGGAAAAATGTAGCGTTGTGAAAATGTTATGTAAAAAAGAAAAAATAGATGAAAAGAGGAGTTCCAAAGTTTGAAAAGTACAAAACAAAAAAAAAAAAGATCGAAACTTACAACAACAGATGAATGTGAAAAATATTTAAGTACAGTTCTTAAGTTCCTACATAAATGTAATAAAAGGTTGGCATCAACATGATGAGGATTTAAATCTAGATAAAGAATGAATTAGGGCTGCACAATATATCGTAAATATATCGTCATCGCGATATCAGCATGCACAATATGCATATCGCAAAGAACAGATAAATATCGCAACGAATGGTCAGCTCAAATGTTTGCTACACATAACGCATTCTGTCAATCAGACGGAAGAATTATGTTTTATAACAAATCAAATAGAGCTCTTCACCCATTTGGCCAGTTGGGTGGGTTCTCATAGGTTAGAGTCCCGCACCCGAGGTGGACGGCACTTCATTTTGATGGTTAGCAAACACCTGAGTTAGCTTAGTTCTGCTCTTTCTGCTGATTCTGCTTTTCCCGGGATCCACTGATCGCCTTTTTGTCATGTTCTGCGGGTGGAGGTGGCAGACCATGTGTGGTGGTGGGTTCCAGGAGGCAGAAGATCAGGCAGACGGATGTAAAAAAATAAAAAGATGTTTATTGTAGGACGGGAGCAACAGGACAAACGAACATGAACAACGACAATGAACCGACAAAGACAGCAACAAGGAGGGAGGTATAAATACACAAGGGAATCAGGAACACATGGGCAGAGTAATGAGGGACAGGTGAGAACAATTAGGCTGATCAGGGCAGGAGAGACACAGTCAGGGAGGCTGGGGCGGATCATGACACTTTTCTTGTTTCTTTCCTCACATCATTTGCTTTTCTCATTTTTATGATTTTTTTATTTCCTTGTTTTTGATTATTTTTGTTCCTGAGTTAAGTTTTTATTTATCGCAAGTAATATCGTCATCGCAATATTAATCATTGTTATCGAAGATTGCAGGTTTTCCTAATATCGTGCAGCCCTAGAATGAATGTTACAATAAAACTGACTTATAAGGTCTAAAATAGTGGTCCTCAATAGGCGGCCCGCGGGCTCCCTCTTAGTGGCCCCCGAACCCTGCGCGCACCCCTTCTCCCCAGACGACGGGACGAGCACTATCGGAACATCTGGCTTAAAGAGTGGATGGGAGAAGCAGAATGGAAGGAACAGAGAATAAGCAACGCTCATGCTGCTTCATAATCATCATTTCTAAACTCTCAACACTGACACATAGAAAGGAAATCCCCCGCAATGCCGTAATTCACGACGCTTTGTGATCTCACATGGAACAATAAAAGAAAACTACACTTTATCTGGTCATTGAGTGCCACTTTTTACATCCCACAACCACTCTGGATTAAACTATGGTGTACTTAGAATAAAACTTTTTAAAACATATTAATAGTGTCCGTGGATCAGTGACATCACTCACTGCCAAAATGGTTGCGATAAGCTGATGTCTGCAAAATTCTGAAAGGGATGATTTTGTCTCGAGAAGACCGAGCCACCACATCTTCCTGTCACTTTTGTCCTTCCCAGAAATTTCCCAGAACTCCTATAGTTGAAACACAGCTATTGGGAGGAATCTTCTCCCTGATTTGAACCCAAGTGTCTTGTGTTTGGTCTCCTGATCATCCTTAACCAACACAATGTTTGTGATCCATGCTGTATTCATATTATAGCCCTATATCAGTGATCTGATTGTTCCATACGTTCCTAACCGAGCACTTCGCTCTCAGACTGCAGGGCTACTGGTGGTTCCCAGAATATCTAAAAATAGGATGGGAGGCAGATCTTTTAGTTATCAGGCTCCTCTCCTGTGGAACCAGCTCCCAGCTTTAGTCTGTGAGGCAGACACCTTGTCTACTTTTAAGACTGGGCTTAAAACATTTTTATTTGATAGGGCCTATGGTGTGTGTGTGTGTGTGTGTGTGTGTGTGTGTGTGTGTGTGTGTGTGTGCCTGCTCTGTCTTCTCGATCCCCAGTGAGTTGTGGAGGATGGCTGCTTATACTGAGCCAGGATTCTTTGGAGGTTTCTTCCTGTTAAAAGGGAGTTTTCCTCTCCACTGTCACTTTATGCTTGCTTAGTATGAGGATTGCTGTAAATTGATACAATTTGCTGGGTTCCTTATATAGGAAACATTATTTCTGATTGGCTTAATGAACTGACCTGAATTGGAATGTTTATTATGTGAAGTGCCTTGAGACGACTCTTGTCGTGATTTGGCGCTTTATAAATAAACTTGAATTGAATTGAATTGAATGTCGTGGATATTCAGGTGAAGAGAGGGGCTAAACTGTCACCTGATCACCACCTCTTGGTGAGTTGGACCAGGTGATCTGACAGACCTAGTAAACTCTAAAGAGCAGTGATGGGGAAATGAGAATGTCGGAGTCTCTGTATGAGATCTTCATTTCACACCTCTTGTTTACATTTCTCCAGCAAGGTTGGGGCCATGGAATCAAGGAGCTTGGATGACCAAAGTAACAGCTGATCACCACATTCTCAGCACTGAGTCAAGTTCATTCGTGTTGTTTTTTGGTCTCTTACACGGCTGCTGTTTGTCTTCTGTTCTGGTTGCATTGTTCAGAAAGCAGCTCCTCCAAATCCGAGGCCGTTGCTGTTGGCTGGGAAAAGAAACAAGGTCCCTCCATGTTGGAAGTGAAAGGTTTTAATTCATCGGTCCAATTGGATGAATATTTTTGCATCCCAGCTATTTTGCTATTATGCATTCCATTTTTCCCCTTTAGGGGTGACATTAAATAAACCAAGTAGTTGTTAGAATGCTGCAAATCTTCATATTTTGTTGTTTTGTTCATGTAACGTGGAAAATAAATGGCAGAGAACGCAAACATTTCTGTGCAATAATCAGACAAAGATGACAGACAGGGAAATGGCTTGTCTGACTGTATGTCGTGTGGAGAAAATTTACTTGAGATTTCTCTTTTTTAGCTGCAAAAAGTAAAAGAGCAACACAAGAAATGGTTCTAAGCAGCATTTGAAGAGGAAGCAAAAAGCTGCCTCCTGTGTGCACACTCTGGAAAGAGCAGACAATGACCTTTGGATTCTACTCAGAAAGAATGAATGTGGAGAGACGATCTCAAGTGGGAAGAAATTCTTATGCACAGTTGTTTGAAAGGAATGACAATGAGATAAGCACAGATTAGAGTCTGCACTGAAACAGGAAACGAATGATGCCATTCCTGTTCTTACGCCAGGAGGCTGGTATTTCCCCCTCAACACCCCCAATTATCACAATATTAGATTTCCTCTCATCAAGGTACGTCCAATATGTTAGATTAAAAGTTGAGGCTTTGTAGATATTAATACACGCGCTTACACAGTTACACACACACACACACATGCGTGCATGCTAACAGTCACAGACCGACAGTCATTATGCATTCATAAATCAAAAGCTTGTGACGGGAATTAATCT